TTTCAAAAAAGTGTATAGCATTTAAACCAACTTCCATATCCTGTGATTCATAAAAATAATTTGGGATAATCAAGGGTTTATCTAATGGATCTTTACTCTTCAGTTTAATTTCGCCATTCGATAGTGGGTTTAGAATATTTGGCATAATCATAATAATATCGGTTTCCAAATTTGCTTTAATTATTGATGTTCTAGTTTCTTCAAGAAAACCTAAGACTTTCGTCACTACAGGTAAAGATTGAGTATCGTTTTTAGGAAAATAAACAAAATGTATTTGCGTATTTGGATATAATTCTTTTTCATCAAGTGTGTTGATAAATCCAACTATATTTGTTAGACCTATACCAGACAGAGGACCATCATGATGAAGAAACATTTGATATATTTGATCTAGAAATTCTTCACGTGACACACCTTTGGATGTGTGTTGATTTAACTTGATCCAAGTTGGAATAAACATATGATCTTCTAAATGTTTACCTACAGGCAGATCTATTTTTGTCGTGATTCCTATTTCTTCTAAATGTTCTGTAGGACCAATTCCACTCAGCATCAATAATTGAGGAGAGTTTATTGTTCCGCAACTTACAATGATTTCTTTTGTGCATCTTGCTTCATAGACTTGCCCTTTCCTGATAAATTTAACGGCAACTGCTTGCTTACGATCATTCAAAATAATTTCTGTAACCATTGAATGTTTTACCACATGCAGATTATTAGTAGTATTGGTTAAAAATGCTTTTGCGGTACTACATCTTGTGCCTTTGTCTATAGTACCTTGAACTAACCCAAAACCAATATATTTTGATGCATTTGTATCCGTCAAGTTTTCATAACCTAGTTCCTCCGCTGCTTTCAGAAAAATATTCTTTAAAGGCAATTCATCGAAAAAATTATCTACTTTTAATCTACCACCAGTGCTATGGTATTGACCGTGATCTATCTCTAGCACTTGAAGCGCCCTTAGATCTTCCGATTTCTTGAAATAAGGTAAAACCTCTTCAAAAGACCATCCAGGATTACCCATGTCTTGCCAATCATTGTAATCTTTTCTATTCCCGCGAAAATATACCATTCCATTCATGTTAGATGTGCCTCCTAAAAGCTTACCCCGTGGCCAATAACATTGCTGGTTTTTATATCCTAAACAATATCGAGGATCCGGTTCTGTGTAGTAGCCCCAATCGATTTCTGTTCTCTGCAGATTGAAAAATAGTGCAGGTATCTGTAAAATTATAAGAATAATAAATAAATTTGAAAAAAAAAAAATAGAATATTTACTCGTTTGGTAGAAAAAATATAAAAAGCAAAAATGAAACCTCGGTTGAAATTGTAGGATTTCCACCAGCTTCTATGAGAAGTATTCTCCAGTTAGGGTTTTCACTTAATCGATTAGCAACTACAGATCCTGCTGATCCAGCACCAACAACTATAAAATCATATACCAAGGAATCTGTAAAAAGTATTTAGGAGTCAGTAAAAAATATTAGCTACATTGAATAACCATCATTATCATTGGCTATTGAAAGCTGAGATCTAATGAAAAAATACTCTTTATTATTAATAATAATGCAAATTATGATAAAATATTGTATCTGACCTGACTCGTATTTTTGTAGCTACAACCTTACGATCATGTTTATAAATAACTTTAAATAATGAAAAAATACTGAAAAATATTTGATAATACCAAGTTATTAAAAATTATTGTGAAATAACTTCTGCCTTAAATATGTTTTCTCACCTTGATCTATCTGATCGCCTTTATCTTCTGGCCAAATATCAGGATTGGATAGATTACAAGGAGCAGCCATTACTGATTGCATAAGCAATGTAAATAATTGACCAGCGGGTCCTGTAGTATGTCCAGGACAAGGTGAAGATATGAAATCCATTTTTACCAACTAACTATATTTTTGATTAAAATTTAATTATAAATTTAATATTGGAAAATCGGCATAATGTGTATTTTATTTATTATATATATGTCATGTATCTTTTCTTTTTAAATTAAATTATTTTTTTATAATAAGATAAGTTTTTATATTAGGTGTGCAAGGACTAGACGATACTTGTTTGATATTCTGCGTACATGTTATTTTCTATATAATTACTTGGTAATCATCACTTGTTCAAATATGTGACATTTGCAGACACAAATGGAATTGATAAATTTGAATAAAATAGAATGTATTTCTGATTAAATATAAACAATTATAAAAATAAAGTTAAATGCAAATTTAGTTTGTTACTAAGTTCCCTGCAACTTTTAAAAGCTTACCGTGTCATGTATTATATTATATTATAGTTCATGAAATTAATCTGGAGACAAAGTCAGAGATATTTTATATCTGGAAATTATAAATGATGATTGTTCTACTTAAATGATTTAAGTTATTCACTACCTTTGAAAAGCTTATTTTTAACTTCCCTAAGGAGAAGTTTGTTTTTCATCAAAAAATCCGATTCGCTAATTTTATGTTTTCACGACGTTTCAAGCCATTCTGAATCGAAGGAGACCAAATTTGAAGAAAGTATATGTGTGCGGGTATGTATGTGAACAGATTTTTTGCCGTAAATCGACGTTTTCTCAAAAACGGCTGGACCGGTTTCAAAAATTAAAAAGCCATTCGCTGTATCTCGACGAGGACTATCGTTTGTCAGTTTTGTGGGACGATCGGCCGAGACGTTTCTTTATAAATAGCAGAAAAGTGAAGAATTTTTCGTCCACGTTTTAGTCCGCGATCCTGAACCGATTATGAAAATTCAAAAACTGTTCGAAAGATATTGGTTGGGAATCGTGCTGATTAGTTTTTCGTAAAGATCGACCAGGCCTTTTTCTTGTAATAAAGTGTTAAAAAAAATTTTATGACTTTTTTTTGATTGTACATATCATAGTCTTATAGATCATTCTAAAATATTACGGCCCTACGACAACTCCCTTAACTTTAAAAATTCGTCAAAGTTTGCAAAAATTTGTATGATTTTTTTGGCATTTGTCAAAATTAGACATTTGATCGACGTTTTCTCAAAAACGCCTGAACCGATTTCAGAAATTTATAAGCTATTTGATGTATCTCAATGAGGACTATCGTATGTCAGTTTTGTGTGACGATCTGCCAAGCCGTTTTTTTTGTTAAACATTTTCTCCATATTTAAGCTTATACTACTGAGTCGATTTTCAAAAATCAAAAACTGTTCGAAAGATGTTAGTTGGGAATGACACTTATCAGTTGTAGGTGAAAATCTACCGAGTCGTTTTCTTGTAATTAACTGTTGGAAAAAAAACTAAGCCGATTTTTATGAAACTTTTTTTGGTGATATATATCATGGTCTTATAGAACTTACTGGAATATTACGGCCTTACGACAAGTAGTTTAAATTTAAAAATTTATCAAAGTTTGAGAAAATGAGTAGTTTTTTTGATATTTGTTAAAATTAAATTAGACGATTTACTTGGTATGATGATAGAGTACTTGGTCTTAATGAATATACAAAACTATCAAAGTTCTACGGAAACTAGTTCAATTATAAAAATTGTTGATTGTTGAAAATTTGCTTTTAGAAAATACTCCGATTTAACGTGTTCGTTCGTTTTCAATTACCATGTGTAATAAATTCACTCGGAATACTTTTAATCACTCCTGAATTAATTTATATTTTGGATGTATGTGTGTGTGTGTGTGTGTGTGCGTAGTATGTATGTGTGTGCGGATACAAATTTTCGTCGACGATTTCGGGAACACGGATGAAGCAATTTGAATAATTTAAAAAACATTCGATCCGTATTGATAAGGAGACGTGCTGATTAGCTTTTGGCGGAGGTAGGTCTAGCCGTTCCGAAGATTTGGGGCAAAAAGTGCCAAAAACGGTACCTTAGTTTTTAATAGAACGGAGCGTCCGATTTTAATAACTGAAAAAACATTTTACTTGTATTGACAAGATGAAGATTTGATCAAATTTTTATAAGGGCAGGTTTCGCGGTTTTGGAGATATAACGAAAAAAGTAAAAAAAAATGCCATTTGGCGGTCAAAAATGATCATTAGACATATGCACATCAAATTATCAAATATTTTATAGAGATTTTAACAATAAGTATAAATTTTGTTTACATTCCTATGGGTTCCGTACCAATGTTTACCCGTTAGACAGCGACGCGGCGCTTACGCGCTTTATATTTTGTCTCTATGAGTTTAAAGAAGTACGATTGCTTTGAAAAAAAGTTCAGATCTTCCAACATATGTCAAAATAAAGAAAACATTTTTTTCAAAAAAAAGATTCAAAAAAAAAAAATTAAATAATTTTTTTTTTAAAAAAAAAGTAATTTTTCGTCAAATTTATAGTTTCTCAAAAATCTTATTTTTTCGAAGTAATTTTTTTTCAAAAATGTTAATCGTTTTTAAAAAAAATAATAATTTTTGGTACGGGAAGTTGCAGCAATTTACCTTAAGGCACGATGCCCTAATTGCCTTAAGACATAATTCCATTTACAGCTAGTTTTAATTGTTTTTATAGGACGGTTGGTCCAAATGTGTACCAAGCCGGTACAACGGTTAACCAGGCGCAATTTAAAAATATTTTTCTTATTTTTATTTCAACATATGTCACACTTTAAAAATATTACACAAACCGATTTTTTGAATACCGTCCCCAAATTTGAATACCGTTAAGTTCAATTTATATGAACAAAAAGATTAAGCTTTTGTTTGTATTTAAGATTCTATCAGAGATACTATCATAGTTGAATCTGAGAGATTTTAAAAGTAAATCAAACGATAAATTAGTATTTTTATGATCAACTTATTAATCTTGTAACGATGATTTGTACCTTATACCTATTATTTTTATATGGACGGTGGAGCAAGTCTTCAAAGATTATTATTGGGTATTTCTTGCTATTAAATTCTGTTAAATATTTATTTTCTATAATTATGCTTATAATTTGGTTTAACAGTATAATCAAAGTAACACTATTTTATTTATACCTTATTTTTTACAGGTACGGTCATTTTTCTGGCATAAATCGTAAAGTTCAAATGAAATACCAACCTCGTGGACGTCCCAGAGGATCAAGTTCAGATGATGGTAACAGTTCATCACACACTAACAGCACGAGTATGAAGTTTTTGCTTTGCTTATTTTATATCATTTATGATATATTCATTATGTTTCTTATTTTCTTTGTAATCTTATGTTTGCAATAGAAAAATTAATGAATGCACCTTGAATTGTAAAAGTACTTCTAAGATTTCAGCTTCGACATAATCGGTAATATAAAAAATAATCCGATCGAAATATTTATTGAAGCAACTTTTGAATTGTTTGATTTGTAACAGGGTTGGTTCCATGCTTAAACTATTGAAGCATTATTATTTTGTTGGCATAAGCTAAGAACAGCATATTTACAATGGAAATAATAATACTTACTGATTATTCGGGTAACATTTTGTAAGATACCAGTCAGTAGTTTTCATCCTTTTATTTGAAAATTAAACTGTAACATATCTTTGTTGGACCTTTTAAGTATAATCTTATGTGCCGAATATGTTATAATTAATCATTTTTACGATATAGGTATTCAAAAATAAATTTCGACAAACAAATTGAGTGCTACTGTTCATAATTTATTATTACATTAAATAATTATCACCATTAAACATTCTGATCAACCCGAAGGATTTGATCTTTTGTCGAAATTATAGTTAATCTAATAATCTGGAAATCGTATTTATTGAACTCGAAAATTTTAAATCAATTAATGCTGCATGGCATGGTGTCTTGTCGAGTAAATTGCTGGCACTTTTCGTATCGCAATTTAAATGCTCTGAAATTTTCGAAAACTTTGAAAAATAAGATTTGTGAGAATTTTAAAAATTTTATTATATAATATTTATTCTAAAATAATTTGAAAATTTATTTTCGTAGCATTCGCACTGCGTAGCCATTTTAGTATTAGTAGCGAAATATCAAAGCGCGTTCGCGCCGCTCTGCAGTCTACCTATTATTAGTCATTGTAAATCTTGGTACTGAACCTATAGAAGTATAAACAAAATTTGTTCTTTATAATCTCTATATAATATCGTATTAATCTGCCCTCCAAAAAAAAATCAGTTTTTCATTTTGTCAATACAAGTAAAATGTTTTTTTAAATTATTGAAATTCATCCGTTCTCATAAAAATTGATTTATCATTTTTGGCACATTTTGCCCCGTATGTTTGAAACAGCTATACGTGCATTTAGCCAAAAACTAATCAACACGTCTCCTTATCAATAGGAATCGAATGTTTTTTTGAATCATTCAAATCGGTTGATCCGTGTTCTTGAAATCGTCGACGAAAAAGTATATTCGCATACATACACACACTTCTGTAGAATTTATTTTATAAGTATGATTTCACACAGTTCTGCAAGATTTAATTTGCAAACATTATCCCTTTCATCACGCTCATAAATGATATAGTCATCATCATAACACGATTTTAATAATATTAGCCATGGTATTGAGGCAATTATTCAATTTATTACTTATTTTGGGTTTTAATGAAATCAATTTCACATGTAATGACCAGTTCATGAAACCCTATATAAAATGACAATGACCAGTATAACTGATCGTTATACTTCATAGTTTTTGGGTACAAAAAAATTCAATAATTATATTAATTATTATTATATAATTCTAATAAAATAATGTTATTTTTTAATTTTAATGATAATGGTATGTTTTTTATCTGTTCTCTTTTTTTTAATATCTGTTATTAAATTATACATATATTATTTAGCTGGAGAACCTAAAGAACCATCTCTGGTTCTAATATTGAAATGGGGCGGCGAATTAACTCCTGCTGGTAGAATACAGGCAGAAGAGCTTGGACGGATGTTCCGGTGCATGTATCCAGGAGGGCAGAGCAGGCAACTGAACGGTGATTAGTTTCCCAAATAATATGGTTTCTTTTCTCCAAAAAAATTTATTCAACACTATTATACAAATATATTTTACAAAAGGTGAATCCGGTGGAGCTCAAGGTTTAGGACTATTACGTTTGCATTCCACATTCCGGCATGATTTGAAGATATACGCTTCTGATGAAGGACGAGTTCAGATGACCGCAGCTGCTTTTGCGAAAGGTTTACTAGCCCTGGAAGGCGAACTCACACCAATATTAGTTCAGATGGTGAAGAGTGCAAACACAAATGGTTTATTGGATAATGATTGTGATTCTAGTAAATACCAGAATATGTGAGTAAGAATTATTAGTTTGCTAATTCATCAAATAAATTTTTTTAATTATTTTGTTTGTTTAAATGTGGTTTCCAATTTGTGATAAGTCAAGTGTGTAAGAATGATGGGTTTCTAAAAATATACTTAGTACATATTTTTAAAATGTATATATATATATATATATATATATATATATACAGGGCCGGTCCTGGGGTCTTCAGCGCCCGCATGCAAGATTTGTTCTTGCGCCCCCCCCCCCTCAATAATTTTAACTGTTTTAACATTTATTATTAAAATTATATGAATATTTACGTAAATTCTTTAAATTGATTTTTAACACTTTCCACTCGCGAATTTTCGGCATCCGAGTCAAAGGGGTTAATCATTCTGGATTTAGTACACAAAAAATAAATATAATCTAAAAGCTTATAAAATACATTGATTCTAATTTTATTTAGAAAATCGAGGTGGTTTGCGGATTGACCATAATCAAATATTTTACATTTTCAAGTATTTTTAACGTATGTGTAATAATTATATTTGGATTTTGAAACATTTTCCTTGTTTCATTTTTAAACAGAACTCTGTTTTTTCATGTTGGATTTTATAAATTTTGTTTTAATTTTTTTTTCATTATTTGCAATATCCAAAATTGCATTGTAAACTTCTCCTTATTGATATCGTAAGGACCGAATTGTATTCATATTTACTTTCCCATCTGATTCAGAATATCAGATTGTTGTTTTAAAGTTAAATTTTTAACGTATTTTATTAAAAGATGTAAAGAAATTACATATTTTCTTAACTATATTGAAAACAAAACACAATTATATTTGTATCTGTATTATTTTTGCTTAGTTAATAATTAAAATTAGGACACCAATAGGTATAAGAAAAGCTCAAGATTTTTGTTTCTAGTACATTTTGCTTCCATTTTTCATATTTGCTCCATTTCTATAAATCTAACCACGTATCAAAGTTCATCAGATCCGAAACATTTTCAACAAAAACAAAAGTTACTATTTAGTTTCACGGTCTTAATAAGCCATTTTCTATGCACTGACTTCCGATTTTCCATGTTTTTCTATTATAATTTGTATCTATTGTTTTAACAAGTTTCGTTCAAACTAAATCAGCTCGTAGTTTTTCGTCAATAATGCCCAATAATTTAAACTTTCGTAGGTTTGCGCCCGTATTTTTTGCATGCATCGCATGCAAGGCAGGACCGGCCCTGTATATATATAGATATATATATATATATATATATATATATATATATTCAAACTGGAATTTCTAATGTTCGATAATATTTGTACAAAAATATTTTTAATCAACACGAGTTTCAAACATTTTTAGCTGCTCAAATGTTACTCAATATTCGATTTAATTTTTACAATAACAATAGTCGACAGAAAATTTTCATAACATTGTAATATATTAGTTTTTGATCAACCATTCTTTCAGTGCGAAATCTCGACTTCATGAACTAATGCAGCAGGATCGAGAGTTCACAGTCGAAGATCGAATGCGCATCAATCCAGGAAATGCCTTGAGTATTAACCAGGCTTTAGATTTTGTCAAGAATCCTGTAAAGTGCTGTGCACATGTTCAGAAGCTTATACAGCAACTTATAGAAATTGTACAACTTAAGAAAGACGATATAAAAACCAAAGGTATTATACATGTATAATACAGTTTATAAATGAAGTTTATGAAAACAAACAATCGCGTTTGGTTGTATACTTTGTACTTGAAACCAGTTTAGTCATTGCATAATCATTGTGGACTTGGATAAATGTAATAGCATAAACATTGATAATTTTAATAATATAGAAATTAATGAAAATTTCTTGTCTTAAGAATATTTCGAACATATTAAATAATATTTACTCACACAAAAATATGGGTTTGATGATTGAATAGATGATTATCTTTTCATAGAGAAGCTCTACGAAAAATAAAATTATAATATTTGTTATTATTAAGAAATTTATATATGTTATTTATGCGAAAATATGTGTTATTCAGTCATACATTTATTATGTATTATTATAGATGCAAATTTATATCACGGTGAAACATGGGAACTAATGGGTAGAAGATGGGGTAAAATTGAAAAAGACTTTTGCCAGAAAAATAAAACTTTCGATATTTCGAAAATTCCTGATATATATGACTGCATTAAATATGATCTACAACATAATCAGCACACTCTGCAGTTTGAACAAGCTGAAGAATTATATACATATTCAAAATATTTGGCGGACATCGTTATACCACAGGTAATATCGATGAGCTCCCTTTTTCCATATATTCAACTACTTTATTTTTTATTTGATTTACAGGAATATGGATTAACGATGCAAGAAAAGCTTACAATTGGCCAAGGAATCTGCACACCCTTACTGAAAAAAATCCGCGCAGATTTACAAAGAAATATAGAAGAAACAGGCGACGAAACTGTTAATAGACTAAATCCCAGGTGAGCATAAATAAACATTTATTAAGTTAATAATTGAAAAGCACACAATACATTGGATATTATTTCATTTGAGTGCTTATTTTTAATTAATTTATTTTAAATGACTACAGATATAGTCATGGTGTCTCTAGTCCTGGTCGTCATGTTAGAACTAGATTATACTTCACAAGTGAGAGTCATGTTCACTCTTTGTTAACTGTACTAAGACATGGAGGATTGCTCGATGTGAGTGTATTATACAGCACTATAAATTAAATTGCATTGAATATTTACTTGTGCATTTCTGTTATTTTAATCACTTCTATAATTTAATTTTCAGGTATTATGCGACGAGCAGTGGCGTAGAGCAATGGAATATGTATCAATGGTTTCTGAATTAAACTATATGGCGCAAATCGTCGTGATGCTTTATGAAGATCCTACCAAGGAATTGTTCTCTGAAGAGAGGTAAAGTAGCTAACAATATAATAAAGTTATTAAAATATTTAGTTTTTCAATGAATTGTTAATTTATGTGTTTCTTAGGTTCCACGTGGAGTTGCATTTTAGCCCCGGTGTGAATTGCTGTGTTCAGAAAAATTTACCACCAGGCCCTGGATTTAGACCACACAGCAGAAATGATTCTGTGACTAGTAGGACAACGGTTTGTGGATTTTAAGTATATATAGTGAAATTATAAAGTTTGGTCTAAAAACTAAAAGTTTTCATTTCATGACAAATTTAAATGTTCTGAAATAAATCTCATAAGAACTATCTGGTATAATTTTTTTGATTTTTGAGATTTTATCAGGTTTATCAGGTTTCAACTGAAGGTTGAGCGATTTGTCATACTGCGCTATTTTTCATGCCGCAGTATTACTTTGGTGTATACATTAAATATAAGGTATTTTGTTCTTTTGTAACAAATTTCATGTTTAGAGCGGCGATGAGGAGGCTCCATCTAGAATTGAAGAAGAGGCAGAAGTTGCCATGGATGAAGATAATTCTAATACTGGATCTACAACTACATCTAATGCATCTACAGTTGTAAGTTAACGGAATAAGATAACAGAACATATGATTTTGTGAACACATTTCCTCTTACTCAAGCCATAAGCTTTTATTTAATAATTGACAAAAATGAAAAAATATTAAAAATGAATCAATTTTTAATCTGATCAACAGAATTAAAATTAAATAAAAAATCAGTCATATCAGTTCTTATTTTTTAATATTACATAATTTAAGGAGTAATATTTTGTACTACACTATGCAAACCATTATCTTTTTATATTTTATATTTTAAAGATATATATTTTTTTTTTAGAAGGACGTCATGATGGATGTTGATTCTACAAGAGCCGATATGGCTTTACATAAGCCAAGAGTACATACCATTTCAGAACCGATTGCTATTGGGTCAGTTTATGAAGAAATTTACAATCAACGAATATTTTACATTTTATATTCTATTTATTTTTTATCACCTATAGGAATTGTCATACCGTTAGTGGCCATGAAGCTTCTGATCTTGCTAAATTATTGAGTGCTGAGCTATCAAACCAGCAGCAAAAGCAGGTAGTTTTTAAATTTCAATTATTTGCAAATTATAATGTTTTTATGAATAAAATTAAGCATTTTTTTTTTCTAAAAATAAATACGCTGAAAATAATTTTATTATGAAATAATAAATTACATTTATGAACGAATCGATAACTTTTAAAATATTTTGTACTTAAGTTTTACATATAAAGAGTGTTATCACTTTTAAATAAAAAACGATTTCAATTTTTTTATTATTCAGTTACATAAAAAAGATTACAAAATAATTAAAATTTTCAAAAATTAAATAATTGAAGAATTGAAGTACTAATAATATTTAAACAAGGTGTAAGTGGCATTTTAAAATTCATTCGATGTAATTTGACAAGTACTAGCGTTGGTTACTTTTGCGCAACGACCATTAAGTCTCCATGACAAATCGTTTAATTTGAAAAAAATATTAAGCAATTTTTTATTGTCAGCGTTTTACCCCAAAATCCTGAATTGATTTTGAAAATTCAAAAACTATTCGAAGGATATTATTTGGAAATTGTGCTGATTAGTCAAGTAGTTGGTGATTGACAAAGATCGGCCAGGCCATGTTTGTATAACAATAGAGTATCTCGTGTTAACATACTAAAAGATTATAGACCTACGAAAGGTGGTTTTATTATAAAAATTAATTAAAATTTGAATGAATCACTTTTAGAAATCACTCCGTGCGTATTCATTTATCAATGATTTGTAATAAAATTTATAAATATTATTCACAAATGTCGGGATTTTTTATGCAACTTAAAGAAAATGCCACTGGCAAGTATTTTTTTCTTTGCTTTTCAAACAGCGAATTAGAATTTCGAGTAGAGTATAATTAGATGTACATAAATATCTATTCATGAAAACTTTTGATTTTTATATAATTATTTACTATAATTTTGTTTTTAAAATCAGCCCCATGGTTCTAATCGTGCAATGAGTCCGGAATGTGCAATGCGGGCTAAGAGTTACGACCACCACAGGCACGAGGGTGAGTTTTCTTCTAAATCGCTTTTTTATTTGTTTTTATAACATTGCCAATACTTATTTAAAATATCATTTTTGCGATCGAAGTAATATTATATATGAAACTAATATGGAAATCTTGTTATGGCAGTTTAAAATCTATTATTACTTGCACATATTTATATTTATATGCAATGCATTATCATATATTTATCGCAAAAAACGCTAAATATATCACCAAATGACAAGATTACAATGTTTTTTTATAAAACTTATATATCTTATTATTACAAAGATATTTCTTTAAACGCATAAAATAATAATATACTAAAATACTAATTAGTTTTGCAAAATAATAAAATAATAATAGTAGACAATTGATTATTTTACTGCTATTATTGTTGTCAGGTATATTTATAGCTAATGTTTTGTTTATTTGCATATTTGATTCGGAGCTCACGGCATTGGCGCTGATTCACATAACTCTGATTTGCAATTAACTAAATTTCAATTCCAAATTATGTACAAAAACAAAAAGTTTTTTTAAACCTTCCTTACATATTTGCGAACGAAGAACAAATTTTGGCGTCATTTTTAATGCACAAATGTCTTCAAAAATCCCTTGTAAATGTTCTTTTACGTGTTCAGCTTGCGTTAATAACAATGTAGATGAAATATAAATAATTACTAATACCTCTTTTTGTTTGAAAAGTTGAAAAACTTAAAGTTGAGAAAACAAAAAAACAGACAGTCCGACGCGTGTAGTCTTGTTACAAATATTCACGTTAAAAAATAGCGGAAGGTTAAATATTATTTAGAGTTTTTATTAAAAATTAATTTATATAACTCATTACTGCATATAATTAAAATTTATTATTATTAAAGAGAAATTTAGTTTATTGCAAGTGGAATAAATAATATAGCTCATCTGTATCGTTATAATTTGTGTAACTGTCGATTTTGCATAACGATGTCTTTTGTACTATTAAAACCAACAAATAATAACCGTAATTAAATTCCTTAGTATCATGTGCAAATTATGTAATCATATATTTGTCTTTATTTGTTGCATACAGAATAATGTTTTAATTAAAATTTAATTATGATTAATTTGTTGGTATATTAATAGTGCATCAAACATCGTCAATCATTCCACTCCCGCTATACAAAATGTCTTGCAAATTCCTAAGATTATATAAAAATATTTTATTCTGTTAGAAATGATATACGTACGATATTATTATTTTATTTTTAATAACACATATAAATAATTTTTTTTTAGACAGCTAGTTTTGGCAATAAATTCTGATTATAATAAAACTGTAGTTATTGAAAAAAGATGTAAAAATATACTTGAAAGTAATATTTCTTGCAGTCATTTTATTTAATTATTCAAAGTTTGCTAAAACTAAATGAATACTACATGAAGCGTCCAAGATTAATTTGACTTTCATAGTTGCCTTTGTGTGAATTCTGAAGAACAGCATATCATGTGCATTTTTAACATTTGTATCATTGTAAATGCGATAGAAACATCATTAGCAAGTATTTAAATAATTGTTAATTGGTTTGTCAGCAACTGATATTAAATTCGTGATCAATTTTACATTTCATAAATATATAATTCTAAACTAAATTAGTCATTGAAATATGTTAAATGGCTCGGTTTCCTCATTTTATATGTAGCGTGATCATTAGTTCAAATCACATTTCGTAATTACACTTTGATAATGAAGAATAAGTTCGGTTAATAATGATATAATAGTTTTAAAAACGTATGAAATTTGTGAGACATTTTGTGATTTTTGCTTTCCTATCTTGAAATCCTCCTAACTCCTTTCCATATACAAAATCAACTTTTGGTCGTTGATTTTACTTCTGATACCAAACTTCAGTACCTATTTATGCTGTCTTTGTTGGTTTGTCTTGCTTGCACTATAATATAACTCTGACAAATTGTGTTGCCAAAATTATCTGCACATATGAGTTTGATAATTAACGTATTACGTTTTATTTTAATTTTTATTTATTATGAAAAGGACTGGCATATACTAATATATTGTTACACACTGACCAATTAAATGTCGTTTTATTATAGCCAAATAAACAGCAATGAAGCATCAAGGCTAATTAAAGATATTTAAAATTTACGGTTGCGTTATTAACTTTGCCTGTTGTATTAACAATTTTGATACTAAAAAGGTTTTCTAATGTGAAAATAAGCGGCATTTTTAAACATGCATGATTTTTCATAACAATTTGTTCTAAAAACTTAATATTTCTAAATTTTGAATAAAAATCAATAAATATACTCTATCAATTTTATCCTAAAAATTCTATGTCAACAACTATATAATGTATACTTCAAAAGTTATTCACTTTGTACTGTGGCATTTCATGAGGTATATCATTTTTTAATAATGCGTTCTGATCACAATGTCGTGGCATATTATTTATAAAAAAGAAACAAGTATGTATAAGCGAAGAGCTACTGAACCTTATGAATAACGGTGTTCCTGTAAGGCTGAAATTTTTTATACTGACCAATTTTAGCATGCTAAGTACAAAAATCATCGACTGGCAGGTTTCAGCCCGGCATATCAACTTTTATAGTTCAAACTTAAAATCTTTACACGATTTTATTTATTTATTGAGAAGTTGAAAAAACGATTTGCCAGGCGGTTTCAACCTGCTTGGCGAGTCGAAAGTTCACTTTTATGAGCAAGACGTTTACGCATTAAAATAAACTTTGTCCTATAAGCTTAAAGCTTAAAATTTATATATTTGTTTGTCTAAGCGATTTTAAAAAGGTATGTGTTGTGCCAGGAAATTCTGAACTGCTAAAGCCCTTACGTGGCGAATAAAAAGATGTTATGGCGGGAGTGCAAATAATCTATTAAGATACCGTAAAAATGTATATCACAGATGTAAATTATATTACGATAAAATTAAAATTTTAAATGATGGTCAAAATTGATTTAATTTGCTTGTGCAAGTTGAAATCGTCTGGCAATTTATTTATATGAACTTCCCAATGCATAAGTAAAATCGTATAAAATTTGAAGCTTATAGGAACAAGTTTTATTTTCAGTTTTTTTAAGCATTTTCAAATTCCTGTGGGATGTTGATGTGCAGCGCTAAAACTTTCCAAACGATGGTTTTCGTACTGACAATGCCAAGAATATCAGTACAAATATTTTTAGCCTTACAGGCGCGTCATTATACGAAAGGTTTAGTCTTTCGATCTGATGTATGAATATCTAATAAAAGAAAAAGAAAAATTCCGTATAAAGATGCTAAATAAGATTTGAGAAAAACAAATATTTGCAAGTTTCAAGATGCCAACAAAATTCATAGTCATTGGCTAAATTTTACCTATATTATATTTGAAGTCAGTAACAAGTTACCGTTATTAAAATAAAAATTGAGATATAGATTAAAATAATAATATCAAAGCGTTTATCGAATAAAATAAGTTTATATTCTGCCAAGTTCGTATTGAAAAGCCATATTTGCCGCTTTCATTAAATTCTTTATATTGATGAAACATCTGCTTAATCTAAAGTTGCTTCAGGTGGATGCGGGCGTACGATTTTCGAGCAATATTAATTTTTGTTTATTTTTTCTTCTTTCATATATGCACTACGCACTTACTCTCTTGGCACTTTGCACTATTCCTGCTATATCCCTAGATAATCCTTTACCACAAATTCAAGAAGACGACGTAGCCTTTTCGAGTCCCATTTATGACAACATTCTTGAGTGTAGCAACACCCAGAAATGTGACGACACATTCAAAAGCGCTAGTGCTCCTCAATGTGGTGATGGCGCTATGAGCACCAGCGTTTCAGAGTGTGTAAGCATTTCAAAAATTAGCAATACCATTACGTTTAATGATACAGAAGATAGAGTTCCTTCCATTAGTCCTTTACGAGCGCAACGTTCCTTATCGGATCCACTAGTCACGCCCTCGCAATATCCATTACCCTCAAATGTCACTACGATTATTCCAATTGTAAATCAAACTACCAACAACAGCAATAAAGTCCATGCCTCCTCCTCCCGCCACCATCATTCCTACCATCAATCGACAAACAAACATGCGTCACGTTTACAAACGTTAGACGTTACTGGCGATGCGGCAACGTCGGTCGCTTCGACGTCCCGTCGGTCGCCAAGACGGTCGCAGCGACACAGTATTGCGGGACAGATGAGCTACTTCAAGATGTTAGGTTTCGGTTTCGGCAAGAAAATGGCCTCCACTGGTGGAACTGCAGCAGCTGCAGGAGGATTGTTCAGCACAGCTGTGATTAGCGGAAGTTCGTCGGCGCCAAATCTGAGAGATATGATTGCTAGTACGGCTTCGCCATCTGGTAAGATAATAGATTAAAAATGTTATTTTATTAATCACATTTATCGAATTGCCATTTAAGTTAGTTGAAAGTGGCATTTTGCCTTAAGGCAAGTTACATGAACTTCCCGAAATGTATAATAATTGACTTAATCAATCAAAACAGATTTAAATATTTAGATAAAATTTTCAACTGTTTATTTCGGAAATAAAATTTTCGCTTTCACAAATTTTATAAATAAAGCTTTCGCTTTTATTTTAAACATCGCTATTTCCTTTTGATATCTCTCAAATACATTTAAATTGTCTGTATTTATATTAATTATAGTGCACAGACACGTGTCCTAAAATTGTAGCTTATTATCCCAAATTATAATTAATTTATATAATTGAACCAATTTTTGTAGAACTGTTTTGTGCGTGAAGTTTATCGCCGAAATATATTTTATATAAACGCTACTATTATTTCCAAACTTATATGAATATTTAAAATTAAACGGATTGTCGTAGGGCCGTAATATTTTCGTACGTTCTATAGAACTATGATATCTATCGTTAAAAAAAGTTTCATAAAAATCGTCAAAAATCGACTCACATACACACACGCGCGCACGAACACATACCTTTTCCAAATCATTTGAATCAGACTGACTTAAAACGTCATAAAAGGCAAATAGGATTTTAGGATGAAAACAAACTTCTACGGGAAGGAAAAAAGAGAGTGTCATTTCATATTACTATTATTTCATTATTCATATTATTATTTTATTTATTTTATTATATAGCTCATATAGTAGTTCCGCAAGGGTTCGAAAATACAATGAGTTAAATATAATTATACTGAACATAACAATTATGCACAGTGGCGTCGGAACCAAATTTTTGATGGGTGGGCTCGTTTTTTTTTTTTTTTTTTTTTAGATAGGCAGCCAGTGGTCTCATTTTTTTTTAGAGATATTAGCCCCATCAAAATTCATGGGTGGGCTCAAGCCCACACAGCCCACACGGTTCCGACGCCACTGATTATGCATAATGTTATCTATATATTTAAAAAAAATTCTGTGTTTTTCTTCCCCGCACAAAAGCTTACTCATATTTTCATTGCAACCATCCTTAAGATTTTTTTTTATTTTTTGGGCATTTTTTTAAATTCTCTCTAATGCGCATTTAAAAACACATCTGACCATAATTATATTTTACCTAATATTTCTATTGATCAATGTGCGTGAGCCAACATATTTTCAAGTTTTGAAGACAGTCAGTGTTCATGCGTATGTTAAACACACGGTGTGTTACATTTTCTGAGGCCTGTCAGAAATTGTATGTTTTACCAAACGATGCTGATTAGAATAATTAACTCGCTGTTACTTCTAATACAATTCAATCACTAACGCACATTTGCTATTTTCCATCATAATAATTATGTTAGATGTAATAACTCTGCAATTAAGTTAAGGTTTTTAATTGAATGCATAACACATCAGATCGGGTGCAGCTAGTATCTTATAAATGAAAGATGATAATAGTTAACTTGTAATGATGATTATTCATTGTTGAAGTATAACATTTTGGGATGTCTAATAAGTATATCACTATTTTCAACTTCCCGAAGAAGTTTATGTTTCCATAAAAAAATCTAATGCTAAAAATATGCTAATTTTAAGTTTTCTCGACATTTCAATGCATTCTGAATTGAATGAGACCAAATTTGAAAAAAATATGTGTGTGTGTATGTGAACAGGTTTTTCGCCGTAAATCGACGTTTTCTCAAAAATGGCAGGATTAATTTTAAAGGCCATTGGATGCGACGATTTTAAAAAATAAAAAGCTGTTTGAAAGATTGGTTAGAAATGATACTGATTAGTTTTAGAGGAAAATCTATCGGGCCGTTTTTTTGAAATTAACTGTTTTTGCCGATTTTTATGAACTTTTTCTTGGCAATAGATATCTTGGTCTTATAAAACATACTAAAATGTTACGGTCCTACTACAATAGTTTAATGTTAAAAATTCATCAAAATTTGCATACAAACGCGTGTCTATGG